GCCCGGGGGCCCAGGCTGCGGCCGGGGCGCCCTCTCGCCACCACTCCCGCCCCAAAAGGACCCCCCTGTCACACGTGCTCGGCTCCCGGGCGCCACCAGCTCGTGGCTCCTCTGGCCCGGGTCCATCCAGACCCGGGTCAGCCAGGCCTTGCAACATCCTGCAGGATCCTGCACCCGAGCCCGGGTGCAGTGCGAAGGATCCTGCAAAATCCCGCAGGACCCTGCACCCAAACCCGGGTCAATGCGACCCTGTCCCTGCAAGATCCTGCAAGATCCGGCGCTCTGGCTGACCCCCGTTTGCACTGACCCCCGTCTCAAGGCTCCCGACCAACCCTCTCAGACACCTCTGCGGGTGCCTATTCGGCGGGTTTGGGGGACCTCTCGGGGCTCTTTTGGGCTGATCTTGACCGCCCTCCGGGCCACCAACGGCCGTCCCGGATGCCTCTCCACCTTGTCTTAGAGTCTCATGCACCAGATCCCCCGACAACCAACAATACATTGTGAGACACATGAATATAGGGGGAAAACAAACCTACCTCGTTTTTGAGCACCCTCGCTTCCAAGAGATGCCAAGCGATGCCAAACTACGGGCTGTACTGGTTAGGCCGCTTGACGAGGAGGCGCGTGGTATGACTTGGTTTTGCCTGGAAGCGAAAGCGGGGTAGGTAATTCACGCTCTGAAATTATGACGATTCTGTCCTTATCGGGCTGTTCCTGGCGCCTCTCTTGGAGCTCCCGTGTATCTCCGCGGGCTCCTGCGGCCATCTTGGAACCTGCGGATGCTTTCTGTGGCCGCCCTGACAGCCTCTCGGGGCCCTCAACGCCCGTCTGGACTCCTTTTTGGTGCTGTCGTGAGCGGTCTTCGGCGCGCCTGGAGGGTCCCTGGAAGCCCTTCTGAGGCCCCGAAACTAACTGGCGATGCACCTTGCTGCCTCTATGCATCCCTCTTCGGTTTCCTCCGCCATGTTCGACACCTTTGGGTGCCCTCTTCGCCCGCTTTCGGGCCCTCTTGAGGCCCTCTGGGGATGTTCTTGGACTCTTCTCCGCGTCTTCTTGGACCCTCTGGGGCCGAACTGGACCCCCCCCAAAAGAAAACTCTCGGCTCCAATCAAAAGTGGGGTGGCGGTGTCTGCTCCCTCAGAGGCTGGGAACAAGGAAAGGCGACACCAACACCAGCAGCGCGAGGAGAGGTGCGAGGAGGCAAGGGGAGTCTCCCTGGTGGTGTGGTCCCCCCCCCCCCTCTCGCTCGAGACATCCCCAGCACCCAGCTCGGGGAGGCATCGTGGACCTCCTCGCTGGAGGTGGGCCCCCTGGTGGTGTTGGTATCGCTTCTCCTCCCTCCGAGAGGCGTTCAGTTGAATCTGCCAACGCAGCCAGCCAAATGCACGGACGGGAGCGAAGGTAGCCGCGTGGCGAAGTGGCCATGCCTTGGCTCGGGGACTCTACTCTCGGGGAGACGTAAGACCCGGGTACGGGGGACTCGGAAATCCCCGACGAGGTCGTCAAAAAAATGACGAGGCTGAGCCTGCATTTTGACGAGGCCTCCCGCTGCAGGCATCCCACGAAACCCCTCCTCGTCAAAATCCGAGGCGCGGTCGTCAAAAAACGATGGCGAACCCGAGTCCTGGCAAACCCGGGTCTTACGCTCCCCCGATACTCAGGGGGTCAAACAAGAGAGGAATTCGGGCGCCAGAACATGTATGTCAGAAGAGACCCCCTCGCCACGAGCTCGGCCCGGGGTCCGCGACCTGCGGCGCGGCGCGGCCAGAGGGGCATTCCCTAGCCAGAGAAAGAGGAGACGACCTGGGAAACCTCTTCCAGCAATGTCTCCTGAGAAGTGGCCACGCTTGCAGTCTCTCTCTCTCTCTCTTTCTTCATTTGTTTTTTTTGTTTCTCTCTATGCGTTTTACAGAAGCAGCTGAAAACATAGATCAGCAGAGGCTGATCAGATAAGCAACAGGCGGCAAGGATGCGAACGAGACGTCTGCGCAAATCCAGCGACGACTTATCGGCTAAAAGTGCTCAAGTGCACTATGGACCGAGACAGTGCTGTGGGAGCGCCTGGGGTGAGGCTGGATGCCACGGCACAAGTGTCGCCATCCAGTCAACGCGCGACGGCTGGGCTGCCCGTGCCACCTTTCGCTCAAACCCTTGACCCTACCACCAGCCGAGTGGTATTTGCAACGAAGACAAGTAGCTGTCAGTGGGTCAGGACACATACCCAGCGGGGGCTGCAGAGCGGACCATTTGCCAAGTGAAAATTTAGCTGCTGAACCATTTGCTCCATCCGAGGGTGCCGGGGAGGCTGGGGCACAGGTCGGTTGGGCACGCCCAACGAAAGCTTGGGGTGCAAGGGGAGAAAGTTAACCACACGTGCAATAAGCGCGAACATCCCTCAACTGGGCGCGAGCTTCCGCAATCAAGGACTCAGCTGAACGATATCAAACTCTCCTACTCTGGTTCTGGGTAATTGCCACTAGCACGGTTGAGCGTTCGACAGTCGAGGGCTCCCCCTCTGAGCCAGGATAGCAGCCGCGGTGCACGTCTGCAGCAGCAAGCCCTCCATGCCGCCGCGCCCGCCCGCAGCCAGAAACACCAGCGCTGGTCGTGAGCCTGCTGCCGGGCCGCCGGAGACGGACAGCAGGGGCTCGTGCAGAGCTGGGGCAGGCCCTGGTCACGGTTCCGAACGGACGACGACGACGACGACGACGACGACGACGGACACGCCGACGACGACGGACACGACGACGACGACGGCGGACACGACGACGACGAGGCGTCCTCGTCTGGCGCGTCGTCCGGCAGGCCGGTGACGAAGAGGGTGGCGATGTCCTGAGCGGCGGCCCGGACTGCCAGGCGTCGCAGGGCCGCTGCTGCTGCTCCGCCCTCTCGATGCACATCCTCCTCCAGGCTCTCCCCTCCTCCCTGCTCTCCCCTCCGCCCTGCTGTCCCTCCTCCCCCCTTCCCTCCCCCTTCTCCTCGCGTTCCTGCTCGCGGCCCCGCTCTCCTGCTCATGCCTGCTCCTCCTGCTCTGCTCGGGGCATGCGTCCTTTCTGCAGGGACCCCCTCCCCTGTTTTTCCTCCTCCTCCTCCTCCTCCTCCTCCTCCTCGTCGGGCCGACGTGTCCATACTCATCCTTCTCCCGAAGAGGGACGACGGCGAAGGGGAGGACCTCCCGATAACCCGCCCCACCATAAGCCCCCGAACCCCCATCGGACCCTGGAGCCCCCTCTGAAACCTGCCGCCTTCCCGCTTTTCCCCCCTTTTTCCCTCGCCCTCCTCCTCTGAAGGCAATAAATTTTCCTCTCTACAAAAAAAGATCGGTTCTACAACCCTGCACCCCCCGACTTAAAGATTCACCTTTCCGTATTGCAAATTACATATGATTCTGACCCAATGCCCATCCAACCTTTGAATTCTACTACACCAGCCAGGCCAGTATCGTCCCCCCCGCCATCCTCTGCAAAAAACTATGCGCGCGCACTCGCTTCCCTTTCAATTGCAGAAAACGGGACGAAGTGCACACGCGCGCGTCGTCGCGCGCGCATGCCGGAATCCTTGGAAAGCCTTCGGTGCCCGGTGCCGGAACACAAGAACATCGAGTGTCCAAGAACATACAAAACACAAGGTTTCGCAACACGGATCTTCAACAAAAACGCGCGCGCTCTTGCGAATTCTTAAAGAAAACCATTCAAATTTCAACCTGTCCGCGAAAATATACCAAACGGGCTTCGCGCGCGCATCTCGAAATCGTTCGAACGCCCTTGCGCGCGTGCTGGGGTGGCACGATCCGTGTCCAATAATACCATGCGAACCACTCTCGCGCGTCTGCCGCTCGCGAATTTCGAATCCTTCCAAAACCTCCATCACCGACGCGAAGACGCCGTCATCGTCGTCGGCGTGATCGGCATCGGCGCCGTCACTGGCTGCCCCGTCGTCGATGTCAGTATCGCCGCCAGCATCGCTACTATCATTATCTTGTCTGCTGTTTCGACGTTGTCATGAAATCGCGCCCGCCCAAGTCGCCGGCTCGCACTGAAGTGCCCGCTGGGATGTGCCGAGCGGTCAGCGCCACCGCGTTCCCGTCGGTCGCGCCAAACAAGCTGGCCGCTGATCGCGCGAGCATGCGCGGGCTAGCGCGGCCGCAGAGATACACCAGCCAGCGCCAAGCACTCGTTGCAAACGCCGCCGCCGCATGAAGTTTGCAAGCCAGTGGAGTGGACAATTCACTGCGCACAGAAATTAATCCACCCCCATAATAACCACCCCGACACGCGAAGCCGTTTACTAAACGCCCCCACTGAAGGAATCGAGCAGGGCAGGGCTGTTCAATAAACGCCCAGGGCCGCTTCGTAAACGCCAGTTGCCCGGTCCGAGAGGTTTGTCCCCCCTTGATCCTCTCCTCTCAGGCGGTTCCGCTGCGGGCGGGCGCTAACCCCAGGTGCCCGGGGGGCCCGAAACCCCGGCCCGATTTCCGGGCGCCCATCACGACGGGCGCGCGACCTCCCTCGACCGCGTGGCATCGCTCCCTGCGGCGCCAGCGCGCCGCCGCCAGGCGACGCCTGCGCCCAAGGCGCGACATCTCTCCGCTGCGGGATTCTCACGGGTCGACTGCGCCGATGGGCATTGACGATGCACGCGCGCGGCTCTGCAAGTACTGCGTTCACGAGGCGAGTGGATCGAGATTCTTCAACGAACCGCCCGTACCGCATGTTGGCACTGCAAAAGAAGCGAGGCCGCGTGCTCCCACCACTACTAGAAGCAGGTGGAGCCCAGCAAGAGGAGCGCCGCCCTTCGCTCACAACCCAATGTTAACGGTGCTGTTCCATGGACTCTCCAGGCGCAGCTCAAGCAAGCGCAGCAACAGATCAAGCAGCCCAAGGCGGCACAGAAGCAGGTGTAGTCGGCTCATGCGTTAGACAAATGGGCCTCTCTTGATGGTCCTTCTTGGTCTGGTGCTGATGCAGGTGGCGATGCTGTCATGAGTGGTGTTCCCCCAGGTTTCGACGAGGGCAAGGCTAAGGCCAGAGTCCACGAGTTGGACGAGCAGCTCGAGCTCGCGTCGAGGGCAAATGAGACACACTGGCAGGCACTTCGCACGGCAATCAAGGCGGAGCGCGACGCGTTGCGGCAGCAGCTCAACGTCCGCAAGCCTGTCTCCGCTTGGATGTTCGCACTCGTTCGGCAGCTGCACGGCAAAACCCGGCGCATCGAGAAGCAGCGCGGCGCCATCCAGAAGCAGCAGGAGCACATTGATGAGCTGGTGGCGGCCATAGAACAGGCGCGGAAGGACGGCGCGGAGCGGGGGGCCAAGGTGGAGGAGATCCGGCAGCGGCAACCTGCGTTGGCCGAGGCCGCCGCTCGGCCTCCACAGGACCTCTCGGTGCGAGCGGCTCCAGCGGATGTGCCCATCATGGCGCCGGGGCTTGACTGCTCGGCACCGGGTCGCATTCTCAATCAGTTACGGCACCGGAGAGGCGGCTGAGCCCGCGGCTGATGAGATCGCCGAGAATTTTCCCCATCTGGTCACCAATGCCCGCGTCAGCTGCGCGGGCTCTGCTCGCGTCACGTTGGCGGGGGCTGCGCCAGGTACGCCTTCAGCTGCTCCTGCTGCCGTGGGTCCTGCTGGCGATCGTGGTGGCGAGCAGGCCCAGCAGCCGTCGGCTCGTGAAGCAGATCTGCGGGCACTGCGAGATCACCGGGCACAGCTGGGCCTGCAGCTGGGACCTGAAGCTCAAGATGAGGAGGTGCGCGAGGCGGCCAACAAGCTCTGCAGCTGGAGGCAGGCTCCCAGTCGTCAGCTCTTTGCACCTGTCTGGATGCAGTCTCATCGTGATGGTCCTATGATTGTGATAACGACGACCACAATTCAGTCTGATGGGGATTGGGGCACTCCAACTGTCCCAATGGGAGAAGCGACGGCTTCTTGTTCCAGGTCGAGGGCGTCGGATTCTTCGTCGACCCGCGCACGCACTGGCCCTGGGAAGGAGGAGACCTCGTGGGATATCTTGCCCACCAACGCCTCGTGTTCTCTGATGGGGCCCTTGATCCGCGGCGCGGGAACCACCTGTGGGGAATCGCTGGAGGGTCATCAGAGGTCGCCTCATGTGCTACCCCACGGGCATAGGGACACCTCTGTTTCCCCAGCAGCTGGTAATCTGATTGCTGTTGCGACGGCGGGTTCGTGGACTGCGGCATCCCCCCCCCCCCACAAGCGCCCGATGCGGTTTCAAGTGCAAATGGTCAGGGTCGCAGCGCGAGGTGCGTGCCACTGCAGGTCAGCAGATGACGCAGGCGCTGGATGGGTCGTCGGAAATGCTCGTACCCTAGGCGAGGTGATCACGACCAACGTGGGCACCGCTGGTCCGCTGATTAGATACTTGGAGGGCTGTAAGTCTGCGGTGGATGTTACCCAGGAACATAAAGCAGATGAAGGAGCCCTTCCCTCGCTCGGGTACAAGATCCGAGACATTGGTTATCATGGATTGAGTGCGCCTGTCATGCGTTCGCCGAATGATGGCATCTCGTCGGGGGCGGCAATATTCGAACCCGCCTACATCGCGATCGCGCCCCCGCCAACCTTGGAACAGCCAGTATTTTCGATGGGGAGATGGTGCAGCCGCATGGCCAGTGGGCTGGTGACCATATCGGTTTACTCCAAAGGCTCAATTAGATGGGATGAGCAGGACCAAGATACGCAGTGCAAGGCGGTGGGCTACCTAGGGCGCGAACACGACATTGGACGGCCCGGAATAGTCAGAGGTGATCAGAGCATGGCTTCCACGACTTTCGATGGACAAGCTGGGTTGGAGCAGCTCAGAGCAGTCTTGCTGCTGCCTACCCAGCAACGTGCCGCGCCATCAAACCACGGAGGGTAGCATCTACGAGTACCTTGCCATCTCCACGCTACTTGCCACGAAGGTATCTCCGCCAATGGTGAATTAAGCTGAAGGGCTGCCTGTGCACGCGCCAGCTCATCTCCAGATCTCAGACGGTCACGGGAAGGTCTGGCGCAGAGTCCCGGTTGAGACTAAGCAGTTGCCCGAATGGCCGCGCGTTGGACCCCCCAGACCTCCGCCGCGACGCGACGGCACTGTGCAGGCGGCGCGCACGGTCAGTGGGAGCCTGAATGTCGCCATGCGTGGGATCCTGTGGTCTCTGGCATCGGGGCTGAAGTCTCATCTCAGGTCGGGCGCGTCCTCCCATGGGCGGATCCCGGGCGCAAGAGAACTGAAACTGCTCCAACACTGCCCGAAACGACTCGACGTGAGTCAAGCACATCGTCCCCGGAATGTTTTTGTTGACTCTCTTTGTGAACGTTCCATCTGTAGAGGGACAGGCCCGACTTAAAAGCTTACCCCGCCTTGGCCCGATCGGTCAGGATGCCCTCGCGCGCGGAGGCGCGGGGCCCGCTGCTCTGCGACGTCTGTGGAAGCAGGCTGAGACGTCGGCGCGCCGGGCAGATCCGCGGCCCTCCGCTGGCCAGGGCGCGGACATCAGCGGCGCGATGGCTGCTGAGGTCGGTCGTTCGCCCACATACCGCGCCGCGGGCAAGGACTGTTAGAGCAGAGTTCTCGCGCGCCGAATGCTTCGACGCTCCAAGCAGCTACGGTGCCGGCAGATCCCATGGAGGCGGGATGGACGCAGGCGTGATGCAGAACCGAAGAGGACGAACGTCGGAGGATCAAGAACATGAGACACGTGATTCGTCATGCGCGAGGCTAGCCTGGTTTCCGCAGCACTTGGTGTTTTTCCTCGGCGCATCCCAACGCGTGGTGAAGAGCCGCCGCGACTCGGTGATCCAGCTCGCCCGCGCTCCCCGGGCCGGCCCCGACTCGACCTCGGAGAAGTTGGCGCCCGGCATCGCGGAGCGCGCAGGTGAGTTCGCACAGCAATGCCTGGAGGAGCGCGAGAAGCAATGGAAGGAATGGCTGGCCACTGGTCTCCGTGACGGCGCTGGCATGGCGCGCAGAGCCACTCGAGTTTGAGGGATAACGGCCACGATCGTGCACGCCGATCGCACGCAGCCGCATCAGCTGGCCGACGATGAGATGCGGAGGCGGAGGGGGGCTCGGACCTGCCACGGCACAGGGTGCACGAGGTTGCCAGTAGGCGCGCGTCCGTGGGACCCCCTGCCCCACATCACAGTCCACAGCACTCGAGAAGCAGTGCTATCCATTTCCGTGGAAGACATCGGTTGGTCGTGCGCGCATCCAACCTCGTTGCCTCTGATGTGTGTGTATGATGCTGGGCTTGCTGTATCATGTGCGTTGTCAATGAAGTAGTCCTCCTCCTCCCCCTCCCCCTCCCCCTCCCCCTCCTCCCCCTCCTCCCCCTCCCCCCCTCCTCCCCCTCCCTCCTCCTCCTCCTCCTCCTCCTCCTCCTCCTCCTCCTCCCTAGTCCTCGTCTTCGTCCTCGTCCTCCTCGGCCCCGTCCTCCTCGTCCTCGTCCTCGTCCCTCGTCCTCGTCCTCCTCGTCTCGTCCTCCTCCTCCCCCTCCTCCTCCTCCTCCCTCCTCCTCCTCCTCCTCCTCCTCCTCCTCCTCCTCCTCCTCCTCCTCCTCCTCCTCCCCCTCCTCCCCCTCCTCCCCCTCCTCCTCCTCCTCCTCCTCCTCCTCCTCCTCCTCCTCCCTCTCTCATCCTCCTCCTCCTCCTCGTCCTCGTCTTCGTCTCGTCGTCCCTCGTCCCTCTCCTCGGTCCTCCTCGTCCTCGTCCCTCGTCCTCGTCTCGTCCTCGTCTCGTCAGCCTCGTCCTCGTCCTCGTTCCTCCTCCTCCCCCCCTCCTCCTCCTCCTCCTCCTCCTCCCTCCTCCTCCTCCTCCTCCTCCTCCTCCCGAGGAGCCCTCTTGGCGGGAGGGGGCGGCCGCCCCCCCCCCCCCCCCAGGGGGCCCGCCGAGGGCGGCCGGCCTCGCCGCCGCGGCAGCGCGGGGGGCCCCTGGAGCCGCCCGAGCGGGCGCGCCTGGCCGGCCGAGGGGGGCGACGACGACGAGGAGCACGGCCACCGGCAGCGGCGACGACGGCGGCGGCGGCGGCGGCGGCGACCGCCGAGGGGCTGCTGGAGGCTACGCCACGACAGTATACATACACACACATATATATATATATATATATATACATACATATACATACATACATACATCGATATAGATTTACATATAGACGCTCTTGGACACACTTCGCACGTGCCTTCAGGGAGGGGGGGGCGTGTAAAGTCGCTGCCTCCCAGTGGTGCTCTGTGCACCGCCGCCCTCCCCTGAGGCCCAGGAGCGATCCAGTGGAGGGCGCCTGTGTATATTTCTCGTGGCGCAGGAGCAGCCGAGGACCGCCGAGGGGCCACGGCGACGACGGCCACTGCGAGGACGGCGAGGGGAGGGGCGAGGAGTCATGGAGTCATCAAGAGGCATCTTTGACACGTGGAAGAGGGGCTGGGCGCCCGGCCAGGGCCCAGTCCTGCGAAAGAGCACCTGCCCCGAAGGCCGACGGGGGGACACGGCAGCGCCTCGCCGCCCGGCGACTCGCCGCCCGGCCCAGATGGCATGGTTCACAGGGGAACGGCCGGGCCACCTCGAAGGTTCAGGAGGGAAAAAAAAAAACAGACACAATTAATCGTCGATTTCCCAGAAAATATGGGAAAATATGGGAAGTGGTGGGGAAGACAAAAACCCAGAAAATATAGGAAAATATGGGGAATATTTATATTTGTGTGTATTTATTTGTGTGTCCCCGTTTCCCTTCAAAGGTACCCACCATCAACCCCTGCCACATCGCCTCGCCTGGGCAACTGGGCTGGCTCCCCAGGGTGAGCGGCAGCAGGGCCCCGCGGGACGCACGGGCCACAAGGCCCCGCCCTCTCGACCGAAGGCGCAGGCCCCGTGCCCAATGGCCGGTGCGAAGCACCGTCTTCAGCGCCACGGGCACACGTGCTGCGGGCACGTGGCGTGCAGCTGGAGCTAGAACCACCCAAGCCGGTTTGCCCCCCCCCCTCCCTCCCCCCTGCCGCTGCGTGGACTGACTGGCAGTGTCCCCTCGTCGTAAGACCAAACGCCAGGAAACGGCACCCGGCAGAGCAGCAACTGGCCCCCCGGCGCGGGGACGGGAAGGGCAAGGATAAGGAGTATAAGGAGGATAAGGAGGAGGAGGAGGAGGAAAGGAGGAGGAGGAGGAGGAGGAGGAGGAGGAAGGAGGTTGAGGAGGAGGAGGAGGAGGAGGAGGACGAGGACAATAACGGGGAGGGATTCGATGTTTTTGACCGCGTGCGGTCCTTTCTGAATATTTCGAGGTCTCCTCCAGATGCTTCTGGAAACCTCCGCAGCCCTCCAGAATCCAGAACCTCTGGAGAGCTCTGAAAACCTCCTCCTGGGGGGGAGGTGGAAAAGGACAAAAACTGGATAATTAATGAAACGGCCTGGGGAGGGAGAGGAGGAGGAGGAGGAGGAGGAGGAGGAGGAGGAGGAGGAGGACGACGACGGGGGTGCCGAGGAGGGAGGGACGGGGAGGAGGCGTCCACCTCGACAACGTGCGCGTCGACGACGGCGCCGAGCGCAGCAGAACGGCGCCGCCGAGCGGGGGCGATCGACGCCGCCCAGGGCAACACGCAACCGACGGCGGCGCCGCCGAGCGGCGAGCGACGTCGCCGTCGAGCGGCGACCGCGCTCCCGACGGCGCCGCCGCGCGGCGGGCGGCGCCTGCCCCCCGCGAACGCCCACACCGGCGGCGAGCCGCGGCCGCGGCGGCGCTCCTCTGGCCTG